GGTCCATGTGCTTTCATTGATTTTCATCGATGTTGAGTATTGAAAAGTCATGATGTTGCAAAACATTGATTTTCATTGACATTGAACATGATATTACAAGAGGGGGCCCTGAGGCCAGTATATCAAAATGAATTAAAGACAAACTATGCTACTTAGGCTAATGGTGGCGCTGCCTCGGCTGAAGGCACCTTTGTAGCTTGAGTTTCAGAAGTGTCTGCTTTCTTATCTTCTACCGCTTCATCACCGACCGCTTCCTTAGTAGGCATCTGAGGGACTTCATCAACAAACTCCGACCTCAGTTGTGATAGGTCGACATTTGGGAGAAATCCCTTAGCCCTATCCAACACCTCAGTATAGGTGAAGTTCCTCCAATACAACCCGAAGTCCTGATACTCCTCGGTGAGGTGGAAGTTGGCAATGTAATCCTTAACTGCCTCCTCCCTCACCATCTAGGCCTTCTCCATTACCTACTTCTACTCGTCAACGTGCCATTTTATTTGGCCTTCCAAACACTTGTATGCATCCTTGGCCCCAGTCAGCTTTAAATTGGCATGCTCCAGGGTCTCAGCTGTCATCTTCTGGTGATTATTAGAAATCTCCACCTTTTTAGTGAGGGAGGCAGCCTCACACTGGGATTCATACGCCTCTTTCTTCAAAACCTCAATTTGGGCCAAGGTGGATTCCAACATGGCCGCATCTTCAATCTTTTAGGCCTTCGTCTCATCCGTCTCAGCCCTTATTTTCTTCAGTTCCTCCTCAATAGAGGCCAACTTGTTCCTAAAGGACTTATTCCTCGTCTGAAAGTCAACGAGTGGTTCCTTGCACTCAAGTGTGAGGCCCAAGGTCTTCACACTTTGGCTCACCAAGGCCCTAGTGATGTCCACCGCATCGCAGCTTGAGGCATGCAGTTACCACCTGTCGATCCAGAGTCTGTAAAAACTCTCTGTAGCGCCTCAAACCTCGACTGGCAGCGCATCCAACAAAGCCGACCCAAGCACCTCATCACGACCCGCAAGAAAATTGGGAGACTTTTCCTGAGTCCTTGCTGGCCTCTATTTGGCCGCTTCCTCTTCTGCTATCCTGGCAGCCTCCTCCCTGGCCTCCTCAGGCTAAGCTTTTCTCACCATTTCTACTTTCACTACCTTCATAGCAAAGTCCAATAGTTTCGACTGAGAAGGGGCATTCTTGCTTGAATGGGACACCGATGTCCCTAATTTTCTCGAATAATTGGTGACATGAACCAGCCTCCTCTTCTTGTGGGAGTCCTCGAGGACCTTTTCTTTACCCCAAGGCTCCTTTACCTTCTCAGACTTATGGGGGGCCTCCTCTACGGACCCCCTTGAGCTGTCATCATTGGACAGCCTCTCCAATTGGACCCGGACCTCCTTCGCCGCACTGGAGCTCGATTTTAGAGGCCCTGCCCTCGCTCTAGAAGTTGCCCTCATAATCGAAGCCATGTCTGGGACGGGGTATTCCCTTCTCTTGAATTTATCTACAGACACAATAGGTCAGCATTGAATGTCAATTAAGTATAATTTTGATCAAGCGAACGCACTTCTTATCCTTGGAGGCCATTAGTTCAAAATCTACAAAGTATTAGCTTTGGTCAATGAGGTGGTCAAAGTGGTAAAGCTTCAAAGGTCGCTTATATATGTCCTCTATGACCTCGAACTCCTCCTTGCTGAGTTCAAACCTCATACTTGAATCTGCAAAATAAGTGACAACAGTTAGCAAAAAATTGAGAAACTATTTAGCAAAATTTAGTCTCAAGCTTGGACACTCATGAGCTTCGTAGTACTGGGTTGGTACTGTGCAAGCCATGGCCTTGTCCCCCTCAACGGCCTGCCACTTTCCCAGAACCACGACTCCTTCCATCCCTTGATGGAAGAAGGCAGCCTCACCACGAAGGGTGCCTGAGCTCCCCAGGGTGTGAGATAATACCACCCCCTCGACTCGTCTTTACCCAACACACGAGACTGAAAAAGGGTTTGAAAGACATGCAGAGGCATATCCTCCTCTAACGACACTTCTTTCCATAAAAAGTATGACCCCACTAGCTGGCTCCACCCATTTGGCATAACCTGGGTCGGTGATAACATAAAATTCCTAAACATAGCCCTAAAGAAGGGATGTAGAGGAAGACGCATACCTGCCTTGAACAGGTATTCACTTACAGCCACATATCCAGGCCTCGAAAAACATGCCCTTTCGTGTACCTTGGGGACTAATATCTCCACTTAATGGGGGACGCAATACTTCTCCCTAATTTTCTCCAACTTCTTCAGGGTCATGTTTGACGCTATCCTAGCAGCCTCCCATTCTTCCTCATAATCTATAGGCTCCTCGACCATGGCGTAATACTCCACCTCAGATTCCCCACCCAGAATAGCCCCCTCACCCAACCTAGCTATGGTCACCAATTCTCTACCCGAAGTGGACTCCATATCAAAAGTTTGGAAAATCACAAAAAGAAATGATTCTTGCCAAAAAATACCTACGAGAATAACTAACAAGCAACAAACTGCGAAACGATGGAGTTTGAAATCAGAGAACAACTTTGGACGTCGAAAACAATGAAAGGCAAAAAACACTGAAAGCAAACGGAGAAAAAGGGTTTAAAAATGGAAGTCTTTGGCCTTTTATAGGGAGCCAAGACGAACCCCAGCCCTTGGATGAAGGTCCCATGAATCTCAACCCTCTAATTCTGGGTTAAATCCGAAGCGTAGAATTCAAATCGTTTTGAAATCTACGCCTCAGATTCAAACGTGTTTCTCACGTACATCTTCAAATGCGTCTCCTTCTAGAAGATCCAGCTATAACCATTATTGCACATTCAATGCTGTAGTCGTACGTGCCTTAGAAGTCGAAACAGTTCATCTACCTCTTCTTGGTAACATGTGCAAAGCATCAAATCATTGGCACAAACATAAAAAACAATCATATCTTCACAAGCCTCGACAGGTTCGATCCACCCACCACCTCGATTTCTTCTTCTACCTCTTCGCAGTTCAGTCGCATCTTCACAAGCCTCGATAGGTTCGATCCACTCAACGCCTTGGCTTCTTCTTCTGCTTCTTCACAGATTCAGCCATCACAAGCCTCGCAGGTTCGATTTCTCAACCACCTCGGCTTCATCACAATTCAACCTTCACAAGCCTCGCAAGTTCGGTTTCTTAACTACCTCAGCCTCTTTATTACAATTCAGCTTTCACAAGCCTCGTGGATTCAATTTATTCAACCACCTCGGCTTCTTCATAATTTATCCACAACACCACATTTCTAACTCTAACCATGATATAAATATCTATACTTGGACTTGGGGGACTATTATTTAGGATTCAAAAATTCTTTCAATTTTTACCTAACTCACTGGTTTTACTTCATTAAAGTTCACGCATTACATAAATGAATATACTTGGACTTGGGGGACTATTGTTACATGTTGACACACTTGGCCAACCCACTAGGGCCTATGGCCCACTCATGCCGAACCACATGGCACTCCAGCCGAGGTGGTATGTATGGCCGAGGCCCATATACTGAGGCCCTTGTGAAGGTAGCCGAGGCCATGATGCGAGAACACTATGAAAAGGTAGTCGAAGCCCTAAAGCGAAAGTATTATGTGAGTGGCCGAAGCCCTGAAATCGAAACAGAAGCCTCCGAACCACAAAGGAACATCTTCCATGATTACTTCTCCCAAGAGATCTTCTACACAAGGATCTTGTTTGAATAAGTGATGGGACGTTTTTCAGAAGTGTAAATGTTAAGTCTTGTCATTAGGATGGGGGTTCTGCATAAGCAATAAATGTACAGCAAGCTAGCAAGTCAAAAATGATGCATAGGATTAGATGTTTGAGTTAAGGAGATAAGGTCACGTGCCTCCTTATCCAAGGGCCACCATTTCACATGTATTACTATAAATACTTCCCTAGTGTAAAATTAAAGGGCTAATGTAAGATTCAACCCAAGAACAAATACAACATTCTTTACATTTTACTCTCTTGCAACACACATGAATTCACACTCGAATTCTACAGACATCGATTGATAATTATTGTACAATCATTATGCAAACATCTCGCCGGATTATGAACATTCTCATCCCGTGCCTTTGAGTCACTCCCACGTCCCCTTTTGCTATTATATCTAGATCGTTCACGTGTTTTAGCGTGTTGGACCAAGCTTACGTGTATGCGGGTGTGTCCGGTATCTGTTGGCAACATATTTTGGAGTCAACAAGTTCCATTAAATGTGTGGTTAAAACAAATTATTGACTTTGGCTTAATTTTCGTCAACTTTTTTAGTTAAACCAAACAAGGGTTTAATTCACATGACCAGTTTTTTCTTCCTAGAAATTAACATATCACTACTATATAAAAAAGGCAATGTCTCGCTACTGTAGAAAGAACAGTAGATTCTTCCATTTTTACACATTATAGCAATTTTTTTTTGGTTTCTGGAGCAAAAACAACGCCGTCTGCTCTTCCATTTTCAGACAGTAGCAATTTTTTTATTTTTTCCATCTTTGGAGCCAAGACGAGGCCGTCTGCAAATAAAAAAAAAATATATATATATTGCTCAATCGTTGACGCATGTTCTTTTGGCCTTATTGCAGGGAGTGGTGGAGAATGTTTTTAACTTCTCTTTAGTTCGTGGTAGCAGTAATATCTAGAAGTTTTTCCTGTGATGATTAATGAGGGGGAAATCTACTTTCATATGATTTGATTTTTCATTTTTCTTGTATAGTGTTGAATTTCGATGTTGATGTTGATTTGTTATACACAAATTCTGGAGTAAACTGGTAAATAAGAGAGTAAATAGAATTGGGCGTGGAAATATTAGAATAGATTGACATGAAAATAAAACATTTTTCGTATATACAAATTCATTTAGAAGAAAGTAAAGAGGTCTTATAGACGTATCAAACTTCCACCAACATGGTCTTTTTTGTAGACGATGAACGTTGGGGTTCACTGTTCAAATGTTCGAAAACACATGTATCAACTATTTGTGTTCTTTTTCTGTAAAAAAAATCTGCCCAACTTATAGTCATACGTCTTATTAGACCATTTGGTCGCAAATTTGTGGCAAGCTTCCAATCGTGATGTAAAGAATCATGGATTTGAACACTTCGCAGACCTCTTGGTAGGTGATATCTAGAGAACTGCCTAGTATACACTGGAAAATCATGAATGAATAAATTATTGATCTTTGAATCAAATTTATGTGGAAGAGATGAATGTAGAATGAGATATTAAAGATGACACCTACAATTTCCCGATGGTTGTTGTGATGAGGTATTAGTGCTATTTCAAATTCAGGGTCATCTGTATGTGAAACGTTGTATTCTTCGGGAACATCGAAGTCATATGTGACCTCTAATCTAGAATGGTCAAATATGGTCATATTGAATGTGGAGTTTCCATTATATTCAAATACCAAAACATGAGCATCCTGTAAGTTATGATGATAAAAAAATTGTTCCCATCTATCGACAAAATATATTCTTCCATTATCTCTTTCCAATCGTATTGTGTCACCAAGCTGGTGTCTCCAATCGTTGACAAAGGATCTGGGAAGTATCTATACACATACATTAAAAAGTATAAGAGAGATATTAAAAATGCATCCATTCCAATGTGAGAGGAGAAACGGTTGTGTGATTAACCAGACAAGTATTATGGTTTTGTGGAAGAGTAATGATTCTGAAGAAACGATGTGGCACCTCCATTTTGTCTCGATATAGTACAATGAAAATTTTGTTTGAATAACTCTATTATTTACATTGTGGAGGCCCTAATATAGATTTTAAGGTAGATTTTGCAGTATAGGCGAGTTAGAAAGTTTGTTAATGGAAGTTCCATGTTTGTAAGATAAACTTTGTATGTGATTTAAAAAAAATATATTCTATATGTCGTTGTAAAAGAATATCATGAAGTTTGATAAGAAATTCATGATTTGTGTTCGATTTTTAATAGAAGAATTGAAGATTGACATTTAGTCCATCTCAATAAACAAGATGTAAGTTAAAACTTTAAAATTTAGTGTTGAAAAAATAGCTATGGTAATCAAGAAAGAGTAGATAGACACCTAATTTTCTTTTTGTTGAGCACCTGCAAGCAAAGATATGTAAATATTTTATGTGAGGAGTGATTTAAGGTAAATTTTGAAAACATGAGAAACTATTTAAATTAAAGGATATGTACTTCCTCTATTTTTTTCCTTTACTCCAAATTTGGCAAGAGGTTCACGTGTTGTAGAAATGGACAATATTTTACCGAAAAAGTCTGATCTTACTCTTCCCAAAAATAAAAGAGGAGAAAAAAATTATTGAAATATCACGTGAGTGACTATTTTATCTTAACACATTTCACACATTATTTGATTGCAATCAAAAGGTTATGATTGATGTATTTATTTTAGGAATCACATCTATTAAAAAAACTAAGTTGATTAAATGAAATTAAATTTTGATGTTGAGAGTCGGTAAGGGAAAAAGAAAGGGAAAAAAATGAAATTTATTACGGAGGCATTTTAATGCCTCCGTAATTACGGAGGCCTTGCCCTTTGAGCCTCCGTAATTATAGAGGCATTATTTTTTTTCCTCCTCTTTTTCTCTTAGCTGTTATTACAACAAATAGTTCAATATTATTTTTTTTTGTCGAACATAATTTTATATGAAGTTATATTTTAGTTTAAACATGAGTTTCTTATTTTTTATGAAATTTAATCAATAGTCGGACTTTCTTAACATTATTTTTAAAATTTTGCAATTTCTATATGATAATAAAAATTTATAATATATAATATAGAAATAGAAAAATGAATAAGCATATTTAGTTCTTTTTTTTATTCTTCCAACTATAGTACTCAGGTAAGTAAAATTTATTCATTTCTCTGTCTATGTCATTTTCATTTTACCTTTTGAACGAAAGCGTCGTTGTTTTCCTTTTGTTCGTGCAAGCAAATTATCTTTGTCCTTATTTTAATAATTTTCCATCCTCCCCATCCTTCTGTTTTCTCCCTGTCTTCAATTGCGTATATATTTTGTTCAGCGATAAACCGTTGTTGTTGGTGCGTTTCATTTTTTTCCGATATATTTCCTATTGTTCGGGTTATGGAAGCGTATGCATTTTTTTGGCTTCTTTTGTATGAGGATACTGTTTTCAATGTGCATACTCTTAATTATGTTTCCAATTTTATTGAGTTGATTTTTGTGATTTCTTTCTTTCAGCAATACAATGAGTAAGCAATATTGGACGCCTACATTTGCACAACTTCAAATTCTTGAATCTATATTTAATCAAGAGAATAAAACCCCAAACAAGTCAAGGATCATGCAGATAGTCTCCGAACTATCGTTGCATGGGCAAATCTCTTATATGAATGTTTATAATTGGTTTAAGAGTAGACGTGCTCGTTTAAGAAGATTGGACTTATCCACACGAGCATACGATTCTGAACTTGTAATTCAGCCAAGGGTACAAAAAGACAAATTGCGTAAGAGACATATAGGTATGATTTGTTGTTTAAATGTGATTTCTTGTTGGTTTAATATTTTTTATGTAATTTTAACATAAATATTTGATATTATAGAAGTATCTACAAGTTCTACACATATGTCAGGAAAAAGGAGGAGATGTTGTCCTAAATTCACAGCAGGTTTTGTAGATTGAATATATTTTTTTATAATTTTTTTTACATCTGGCTATTTATTTGGTCATGTTGTAGTACACTTTCTTTCATCTTGTGAAATTATTTTTTAATCCAATTTTTGCACTTCTGTTGTCTTTCAGCGATCTAATACTAATTTTATGATTGTAGATTCTATTGATCAGTATGTGGAATTACAGAAGGATCTTCATGTTGATGAAAACATTGGCGTGTAAAAGCAATTTGAAGATGACAATATGCAATCTCAATGTGGTTTACATGTTCCTATCATTTTAGATCGTTCTAAGAGAATTGTTGTATGAAATATTCCAGTTGAACCTTATATTCTTCTGTCTTGTACAATTTGTAAACATTATGGTGCAAAAAAGTTTTATAAAGAAAGTAAGGTGATATGATCCAGGAGTCGAGCCCGACGAAGGCAAGTGCGAGACGAGACCCGTTGATAGTTGATGGCGGACCAATGACGTGATCAAGAGCAAAGCAAGTGAAAGAAGCGATGGGATGCTCGTTCAAGAAACCATTGATGGAACCATGTTCGGGACTCAAAATGGAGCAACTTTCATATTCGGGTCGAAGGCCGAATCAACTTGGATCAATTTGTTATCAAGCGACGAAATCGGAAGTTGAAAACAAGTCTATGCGGCCGCACAGGCAAAACCCCATGCGGCCGCATAGTGGCATACCGAAACTTAAATTGAGATTTTTTTATTGAACCATGCGACCGCATGAAAATACACCATGCGGCCACACAGGCCAAAAATTTGGCGAATTTTTCAATTTTGGCAATTTTCCATATTTTGTTAGATTTTGATTCTTTTCCATATTTTAGAGATTATGCTCGACTTTTGCATGATTTTTACCTAATTTTTAGGTTTAGTATAAATAGGAGTTTTCATTCAATTGTTAAAAACCTTTGACATTATTGATATTGAATTAAAGTGGGGCGTATTGTCTTCTCTTCATCATTCTTCATTGAACAATTTCGAACTTATCAAGTGTTAACTTGTGACGTTTAAATAACCGGATTTAATTATTGGATTGCGGGATCAAGGGGTCTTTCAAGCGTCGTTCTTGTTGGGTTTTTTGGTTCGACTTTCTTTTGGGTTAATCCTAAACGCTTGGATTAATTTGGCTTTCTTGGGTTTGTCAATCTCGTTGTGGGTTTCGTAGTCAACGTTGCTACGGGGTTCGCATCATAAGGGCTTTTGTTGTTGTGATGGAAAAGTTAAATTATAGCTAAACAGTGTTTCCTCTGAATTGTATGAGCTATTTACTTCTACTTCATGTGAAACGATTGCTTTTAAAAAAGTTGCTCTTACTTACAACAACCATTTTGCATTCACTTCATTTGGTGTTAAATATGATAAAAAATTGTGCAAAAATAATAGAAGTGTATATACGTTCAAAGTTCAGGGACAGGTATACCATTTTATAAATCCACTTCTACCAATTGATGGAAATCCTACGTATTTGCAGTTATACTTTTACGATACTTATAATGAAATTAGTAATAGACTACAAATTTCAGATAAGTTGAGTGAATCAACTTTGAAAAAGTTAATAGATATCTTAAAGATAAATCTACATTGTCGTTTCTTTCGATCATTAAGTGAAGTTTCTGATTTTTGATTCATGTTGTATCGTGCTAAGGTTTGATCCGGGTCTCGACCAGAGAGTATATAACATGCCATCATGTGAACAGGTGGCTGCAGTGTGGGTTGATGATGATCCATCTGCAAGCATAAAGACTCGTGATATATTAATTTATGGACATTCCAATACTGCACATAGAGTAAATTACTTTATGGCTGTTATGATCCATTTCAATATCCATTAATATTTACCTACGGAGAACCTGGATGACATGAATGTATCGAAAAGATAAATTTGAATACTTCAATAGGACAGATTTCATACAAATCAATCACATTGATTCGGTCGAACAACTTATAAAGATGGAAGATTGTGGTAAGTTTTATTACCATTGAAGTTTTTTAATCTTTTTAGAGTGCATAAATGTATTGTTATTTCTAGATCTGTCTTTGTAACTTTAATTTTTTTTCCTTTCAGCTATGAAGAGAGGTAAGAAACGAATTACTGTGTCATGCCATGAATATTATTGCTACAAATTTCAAATTAGACTTTCAGATAAGTCTGTACTCCTTCATACAGGCAGACTTCTACAACAATATATAGTTGATATGTATGTTAAGATTGAAACTGCGATATTAGGTTGTTTTCGTAATAATCAAAAGACTATATGAGGTGAACCTTACCAAGGAATTTTAGATAGTATACAAAATGGTGAGAATAGATGCTATAAAATTGGCAAATTAATTGTGTTGCCTATAGGGTTTATTGGGGGTTCTAAAAATTTAACTAAAAGATATATGGATGCAATTTGTTTAGTTCAAAGATATAGAAACCCAATATATTTTTAACAATGACATGCAATCCAAATTGGCCTGAAATTAAACAAGAATTGAGGCACAATGATGGTATACAAAATAGGCCAGATTTGTTAGCCCGAATATTTCGAGCAAAACTTGAAGAAATAAAAACAGATTTAATAAAGAGAGAAATTCTATGGCCTATAGCTGCCTATGTGTATGTAACTGAATTTCAAAAAAGAGGTCTACCTCATGTTCATTTTCTCTTGATATTGAAAATGAATTTTAAGATTACTCATTCTACGCAAGTTAACGAAATTGTTTCTTGTGAAATACCAGGTCCAAAGAGAAATCCTCACCTGCATGCTACTGTGGTCAAACATATGATGCATGGTCTTTGTGGACAATTAAATCCTACAAATGTGTGCATGGAAAATAACCATACTTGTAAAAACAAGTATTTAAGAGAATACATTTTGCATACTTCATTAGGTAGCGATTCATATACACTTTATAGGCGTCGTGACGATGGTGTTATTGTTAAGGTCAGAGGGTCTGTACTAGACAACAGATGGGTTGTACTATATAATCCTTATATTTTAGCTAAGTATGATTGTCACATTAAAGTTGAAATATGGTCTTCTGTTAAAGCAGTCAAATAATTATACAAATATATATACAAAGAACATGATCGTGTTAATTTTACGGTGAATAAAGAAACTAATGAGCATTATGTTGATGAGATTTTGAATTATTAAACCGCTAGATGGATATCTGCACTGGAAGCTATATGGAGAATTTTTAGTTTTGATTTATTCGATATATCTCATTCTGTAGTTTCTTTGCAGTTACATATTGAAGATGCTAGTTGGTTACATATAATGAAACAGATGATTTATCAGAAGTTATAAATAAAGACTCCATCCAACGAACAATGTTAACTGAATTTTTTAGAATGAATATTTCAAATGAAAAGGCACAAACTTTACATTATAAGGATTTTCCTACATACTTTGTATGGAATACATATTTTCGATTTTGGAGTCCTAGAAAAAAGCAAAATGTTATTGGTAGAATAGTTGCTGCTAATCCATCTGAGGGCGAGAGATACTTTCTAAGAGTTTTATTGAATCATGTTAAATGACCTAAGTCTTTTCAAAATTTAAGAACAGCTAATAACATTGTTGTACCTACTTATCTGGAAGCTGCATTTTTACATGGTTTAGTAGGTAGGAATAATTATTATGAAATGTGTTTAAATGAGGTGATCACCTATGAAATGCCTATATCATTGCATCGCCTCTTTGCTAATGTGTTAATTTTTTTGTAGCCCTACAAATCTTAGGAATTTATGAGTTAAATTTAAAGTGTATATGATAAAAGATTTTTTACATGCAAGCATGACAGTATGTGATGCCGAGATTAGGGCTTTGAGATGCATAAATTCATTCTTGGAAGTTTTTGGTACAAACATAAATGATTTTGGTCTGGTAGATTTTGACGTAATTGTGAATGATGCTGATGTGTTAGCAAACATGATTTTAGAAGAGATTACAAATATTAATGTTCAGTGTGACATTCATTTTACAGAGAATTTAAATAAGGAACAACAATCTGCCGATGATGTTATTTTAGACTGTGTTGTAAATAATAAAAATGGAGTTTTTTTTATTGATGGTCCAGGAGGTATTGGAAAAACTTTTCTGTACAAGGCATTACTTGATGCAGTACGATCTTGACAACTTATGACATTAGCAACAGCGTCATCGGGAGTTGCTGCTTCTTTATTGCCAGCTGGGCGAACTGGTCATTCACGTTTTAAAATCCCACTTCAAGCAAGTTCTGATATGCGATATTCAGTAAGTAAACAATCATCACTTGGTCAACTTTTACAAATGGCAAAGCTAATTGTGTGGGATGAAGCACCGATGATTAATAGATGTGCTTTTGAAGCTTTGGATAAAATGTTAAAAGATATTACTGAATGTGAATTGTCATTTGGTGGAAAGGTTGTTGTGTTCGAAGGAGATTTCCAACAAGTGTTGCCAGTAGTACAAAGAGGAACAAAAGATGATATCATGAAGGCCAATTTAGTTTTTTCAGATTTATGACAATATTTTACACAACTACCATTGACTGAGAATATGAGAGCTAAATTAGATCCTTTGTTTTGTGAATATTTACTTAGAATTGGAAATGGAATAGAAAGAGAACATACATGTCACATGATTAAGCTTCCTTCAGATGTAATAATAGATTTTGAGAGTGAATTTGAATCATTGAAAAAACTAATTGCTATTGCGTTTCCTAATTTTCACACATATGATGACAATTTGAATACTATGATGAACAGAGTTATTTTGACTCCAAAAAATAAACATGTGGATGTAATAAATAATAAGTTAGTTAAATAAATTCCAGGAGAGATATTTACATATTTTAGTTTCGATGAAGTAATTGATAAAACAGAAGAATTTATTCATGAGGACTTTTTGAATAGTCTAACTGCAAATAGTATCCCTCCACATGAACTTGTACTAAAAAGAAACTGTCATGTTATGTTGTTTAGAAACATTAATCATTCAAAAGGTTTGTGTAATGGGACTAGACTTATTTGTCGAAAATTTAAACGAAATGTTATTTTAGCCTAAATTGGAATAGGTGAATATCGTGGAAAACAAGTATTTTTACCTAAAATTTCATTTATTCCACTTGAAGGAGATAAGTATCCGGTACCATTTAAGAGAACTCAATTTCTCATTCGTCCTTGTTTTGCAATGACCATTAACAAAGCTCAAGGTCAAACTTTAGATTTCGTTGGACTATCGTTGCTTGAACCTGTTTTCTCGCATGGTCAATTATATGTCACTTTATCTAGAGCAAGAACAAAAGAAAACATAAAAATTCTACTAAAGCCAATGGATGAAATAAAATCACACAATTGTTCCATAAAAAATGTAGTTTACCTTGAAATTTTGAATTTGATACATACTACTTAAGAAGTCTATAATTACAAGTTTCGCTTAATTGGACTGTCAATCTATTTTTAGCCTAAAAGAGAATATTTTCTTTGTTAATCCATCTTGTGTCAAGGAGAATAACATTTAGCTATACAAGGTTAGTTATTCTTACATGTTATTATGCATTTTAATTATACTTTACTTGTTAGTACGAAACACGGTGCATATAAAAGGGTCAGATCATTATCTTTAAACGTATCCTTCATAATATTTCATGTTCAACATATCTTTATTTATTTGGGTCAGTGACAAGATACGAAAAGAAAGGATAAAAAACACAAGTTTATTACATAATATTTCAATCAGTATATTCTGATTATCTACTACAATTAGGACTTACGGGGATGAAGAAAGTATTCGTTATTACAGATATCTACCGCAATCTTTCGTCTATATATGCTCATCCTATCCGACGAAACTGATTCAATTGGATATCCCAAAACAAAGCATTCTATATATTTGAGCACAAAAATTCCACAATTAGGCCTGTGGAAGAAATAGTTTAGTGTTAGAATAAATGACTAAGTTTAGGAAATTAAATATTCTGCTAAAAAACAAGTCACTTAAATGCTTACCCATTGTTTGCACAGTTTAGGTAAAGTATAATCTCCTGCTCCATTTGTTTATTCCTATGTTTTCTTATATCTCCTCTAGAAGATAAAGTTGTTTTCAATAATGCTTCTACCACAATCAATGAAGCTTTTGCATGTGCTTTTACTTGATCCGGTGTGTGGACGTTATTACCGCAATCATATATTTGAAATTTCCATTCAGGAATATTGACAAGGAAAAGGTACCAGCTATTGCCTGGATATGAGCACGGAATTATTATATACTTGCATCTCATCCAAGGACGACCAAATATAAGTGCTTTGCCATTCACATAACTTTGCAAAAGAGTTCCATCTGGTTCACCTCTGGTGGTTCCTATTCCTGTGTCAGTATGCCACATCATGTGACGAGCACATTCTGCTTCAAATTTGAAATCCATAATTGCATATTCTTTTGAAACAAGCGGACAACCATCATTCATGAGCCGCCTCAATAGTTTTAACTCTAGCTCAATGTTCTGATGAAATAAATAGATATAAATTAAATTATATTATCGACTATGAAATAAAATTTATTGTAATTCATAGACTTTACTTACAGCAATATTTATGTCCTGTGTTTGATCCATTAGAGTTTTCAACATATCTCTTCCAAAGACATTGTTACTTTCATCGTCCAAGTATGCACTCTATGACATAATTTTAATTAATTCCAAATAAATCAAAAAAGAACTTGAAGATTTGAGCTAATACAAGTAAAATTAGATTTATTACCCAGATTGATTCTCCGCTATAAAATTTATAGTTTTTATGTATCTTTGCATAAGATAGTCTTCCAGAGGACGATCTGAAAATGATGAAGACTGTATTTGTTTCCCCTTGTTTTTCTTCTCTTTTATCAAACTTTTAGAGCTCTCAATTTGTTCAGCTGTTGATATCTCATTTGGTTTATTGCAAGGAACAACACTTATATCGAGGGGGACATCTTGTTGCATGGAACCTATGATGGCTTCCATGTTTGATTTCAATTCAGATAATGTGTTCAGTGTTTCCTGATTTTGTTCATTGACATAGGATCTCATTGAACTTAAACTAGTATCAATATAAGATTGCATACCATGGTATCTATGTTCCTGCCACTTCTGTTGCTGTTCGAAAAATTGCATTTGGTTGTCAAGAATTATCTGATAATGATGTAGCGTGTAATCTTCTTGCCATTTTTTTGCTCCTCAAATGACTGTTTTTGGTTTTCAAGAATCGCATGGTGGTGAGCTCTTGATTCATCAGCAAATTCTACCTTCAAGTTGCTATATACACCAGACACGTCTGATGCTATGTGTTGGCTGTAGATACCCAACAATTCTTCCATTTTATCTTCACTTAAGGAGTTGGAGCCACTGGGAACAGAACTAAATCATTTCTTGCACATATATATTGTTTGGGATTTGTTCTACTACATTATCCAATACTCCATTTACAATCTCATCTAATCTGTTGTGTCCATTATCCACTAGTAATAAAAGAGCTTCGTGCCAAAGACTTTGTAATTCTTCTTTATTAGGCTGTAGCACAGCAATCACTTGAATCTTTAATCAAATTGAAATACCAAAATCATTATTTTAAGTTTAATTTTATTTTAAGATAATTGAATGTGAGAGTAATTATACATTTATAAAAACATACATTACGAGTAGACAAAAAAAGCTTTATCTCTTTTTCAGTTACAAATTGGTTGGGTTTCCACTTGTATATTCTTGGACACTGTGGTTTTTTATGTTTACGATGTCCAAATTTCTTTCCGATATTTGGAAATGCTTCACATATCCAATACTGCAAGATAATTAAAAATAAATATTATATGTATAAAAAAATTTTATGGGAATATATTGTACATAATAAGTCAATACAAGAATAGGGACTAATTACTTGGAATGCAAGTGGATACCCATGTAACGCATACTTGCATTCTATTTGTTCATTCCGTTGCATCCTTTGCACTCTTTCAGATCGTGATGCTTTCAATGAATATAACAAGATCAAATATGCTTTGCGACCCCATGGATATGCAAGGAACTCGTCCAGATGCTCAACCATACCAAGAGTTCTATAATCAATTTGTGTTGAAGTGGGTGTCAACACACATTCGACGAACATGACTAAACCAAGCTTCAATTTATCTTCTTCATGTTCGCACGCATGGAATGCTTCATAAAGCATCCTCATACTGATTCAACATGTACCATTAAAGTATTGATTTCTAAGACGATCATTAATGTCCATGGATGGTTCATGGCAAGGTAATCCAATAATAAGACAAAATTCTTGCATACCAAATCTAGCTATACAATCGTCGAACCTTACCCAAATTTCATCATTTTCCCCACAATTCACAAGTCTCAATATAAATTCATGCACCAACCTACTACTAAATTGTACATTTTTTCCTTTGTAGAAAACTCCATAAAGAAATCCATAAAAATTACTACACATCAAGGAAAATTGTTTATTCGAATCTAGAAATTGTACAAAGTCTCTAAAATATTCAAAATTTGGATACTGGACAATTGTAGCAGAAAACCATTGATCCGGAGGAATTATGTATTCTAGAGACATCTGCATAAATTATTCCAAAAATCACATCGTATTTATGAATGAATCTAAAAATTAAAAATAGAGAAACTTTTTTAAGAGTTTCAAATAAACATTATATCTTCATAACCTATACATGTATAAATATTTTAAAATCGATAATAAAATATCTTATGTTCGTGTCTAGACAATTCAGACAATTCATGACATAAAATTCGGGACATAAAATTATGCCTCGCATCTGTGATTATGGAGACTTGGCCTCCATAATCACGAAGGCCAAGCCTCTGGATTACAAAGGCTAGCAGCTTGGCCTTCGTATGATGGAGGCCTCCGTGATTACGGAGGCATGGAGGCCTCCGTAATTATGGAGACCCATTATGGAGGCTTGGGTTTCCATAATCACGGAGTTCTTATGGGTAAAATTGTTGCTCATACACAGATCTGTGTAGATATATGCAAGTTTCTTCGATAGTAAATTTTTAAGAAAAATTGTTACCTTTTCCGACCAATTTTAGAGCTTCTCCTGTTTAAATCTACGAGGAGTTTCTCTTGAAAATGTATAGATTTCTAGGACTAAAAATATAATAAATGAGCTTTATACCAACCACAAGATAAAAAGCTGTCACATATGAGCTGTATATTATTGTTGTTTTATGCATTTGGTCAACAATCAATGAATTATTTTTGATGTGTTATGAAATACAAACTATTCACACCTTTTATAGAATCCCAAATTTACGTCTTTGTTTGAATTCTTTAATTTCATACACAAAATCATACATCAACATATTCACGTGTATTTAGATATTTATTACAATTCAATTTATTTAAGCTAAATAAATAACTAAATCAAATTTTCCTTCCATTACAATGAAGGTTTGTAGCATGAATACTTTTTTCCTGGTGAATACAACTTAATATAATTCAGAGCCATTCTTATACCATGTT